CTGATTGGTCAGGGGGAGGAGCCAGAGTCACTGAGAAACTTTCCAAACAACTCGATCTGCCATTTTATATTCATATGTTACAGCTCACATGAGAAGATTAGCACTAGCTTACCTTCTATCATCCCACAGCTCGCATCCTGTTTTCTATTTCATACTGCATTATGGTTTGCCACACTCTCCGGTACTTCTCCATAGTCTTTTGCCACAAAGCCTGCTGCCTGTGTTCCTCTGCCCGCAGCCATTTCCGGGCAAGGGATAGGGACAGTTCTCTTTGATGTCTGACAAAAAGCCCTAGACGAGCATAATGCTCAATAAAGACGCAAAATCCTCCATTTGGTTGTGTATCTCTTCAGGGTCTTCTTCTTCTTAACCCGTTTAGTGGTGGTTAGTAAATAGCTTAAGCGACCACTACCGCCACCAGGTGGTAAGGCGAGTTGGATTCTGAACACGCCTACAGAACCCGTCCTGAAGTTCGGTGCAAATCCAGGCAGGACTGAGCAGAGTTGTGGCTGAGTAGGAGCGGTGCAAAAGGGGCATAAGTTGCTCCGGAGTATAAGTCACATCAGTCCAAAAAGCATCTTGAAGAGGAAAAAAAACATATATAAGTTGCTTCGGCACATAAGTCGCATTTATTATGCGCCACTGCTGACCCGTCGTGTTTATTATGTTTTTATTTAATGGTCAGTCAAAACTGCTTCATTTTGCCTGGGTGGTGCAGCGCCATCCATTCAGGTCTCGCTTTTAAATGAGTCCCAGAGGCTCAATGGGATTAACCTGTATAAATAAAGGTTGACTGAATCCATCCATCTATCGCGGCCGGAGCCACTAGCTCTCCAGCGTTCCTCCGCCTGTGAAGCAAGCGGGAACGGGAGGACTCACTGTTGCAGTTCTTCAAAATTTAAAGCTTCAGTCAAAAATTGTGTTATGAACATGGAAAAAAAAACCTGTAAATAAGTCACTTCAGTGTATAAGTCGCAGGACTGACAAACCTATGCAAAAAAACTGCGACTTATACGCCAGAAAATACGATAAGTTTCCACCAAAGTCTCAAAATGATCTGGACAAACTCTTGTAGAAAAATGGAAAGTTGGAAAAACCGTCACTGAACCCTTTTACTGACTGAGAAGGTTTTGAGGCAAGAATGACAAAAAAAAAAACATGCAGAAAAATAGAAACCAGGAGGCTGATTAGTGAATCTGCAATTCACACTATTAAAAAAGTGCCATGAATTCAAAATGAAGGTACTTAATGTCAGCTTTGTTGGAGCGGTTAAAGAAAGCTTTAAAACTCTAAATGTCAGTTCTCTTCAACTGTCATTCTTGTAAGACAAAATGCTCACGTCTGTCTTCTTTTAAAAGTGTTTGTTCTGTTCTGAAAAGGTTTTACAGCTGAACAATAAACCAGAGAGGACACCTGAGCTACAGGGCTGGGCCGGCCGTGTGGCAGAGACACCTCCCGAGCTCTGCCGTCATCAACCCCACTTCAGCAGAAGCAGTGAAGGCATTAATTAAAAAACAATCAGAACTTTTTAAAACGATCAGAAAAACACGCTTTAATCCACTTGAGAACGCTGCTGAAGTGATAGTTCACTAAAAAGCTCTCATCCCAGCTCGTGGGATCACAGGCGGAAAGGCAAATGATCAATTAGTAAATCTGTTGCTCGTGGGAATTTGTTCATGCAGCAGTTTCATGAATATTTCCACAGCACCATTAAAGAATCAACTTAATCTGATTGAATTCGTTCCAGTATTTACCTGAAAGGATAAAACATACAATTAAAGCACAATTTAAGCTTCATATTCTATTCAATTAAGTGATTTCCCACTAATTGAGGAAAAGGGGATAACAAAAATAAAATTTAAGCCCAAGTTTCCGGCGTTGCGTCAGAGGAGAGGATTTCTGCGGCAGTCATCCGTCCATGATTTGAAAATGAGGTGACGTGTGTTGACCACGAGCAGTCGCTCATTCATCTGGGGGTGGTTATTTGTGTCAGGCAACATGTGTTCCTCATGATGGGACTTGACACCTCCTCCTCAGAGCCTTGAGGAGCAACAAAGTAAAGAGCCCTGCAGGAGAAACAGTTTCGCTCAGGCTGCAAATTAGGCTCTAATCCACTAAAATGCCTTTATATAATATGTGACTTTTTCAAGATGGCTCTTATTCTGAGAAACCAAACGGTCTTGTGCTCTGCATGTACGTTCACGAAAATCAGATTTTTTCCACATCTACCTCCCAGATTGGTCGTCTTTACTTGAGTGCATGTTTCTTTTAAGCTACTTTAGCCTGGAACTTCCTTTTCTGTGCAGATTGTTGGGATACGACACATTTTCTGTTCAGGGTTAATGGGAAGAGTCATACATTGTTCAAAGAGACTCGGAGTTTGTGTCAAAGTTAAAAAAAGTGCAAACTTTTTGCTTTTTATTAACCCACATAAAATTCACTATTAGCGTTGACATAAAATTCCTGATGGTGATCGGTGAGTGAAACAGAACAGAAGTCAAATCTTATGAACAATTCACATCTTACCTGATTTATAAAGATAAAAAATGTTTCTAGATGATACCTGTGTTTTATAGGTACAGGTTGAGTTGAGTTAATATCTGGATCATGGGCAACACCGTAGACTGTGACCACTAGAGATATGGGGCTGAAAGTCTTGTCTACTTTGTACACAATCAGACATACTTTCATTAATTAAAGGTGTTAATTACAGTTAAAAAATATGAATATTTGTGGAAACGTCAATAAGATATATATATATATAT